CCCCCCCCCTTTGCAGCACCATCACTGGCTGGTTGTCAGGATTTGATACCAGAAATCAGGACAGTCTCTGCAAAAAATAGGTACTTGTTATAGCGATAGATAGGAACGGAGGGCTGCCCCTTCTTTATGAGAGAATTGGAGAAGGGGGGAGGAGGAAGAATAGAAACCAGTGTAGATGAAAGATCCAAGATACTGTGTCCTGCTCTTAGGTTGAGATGTAAAAGGTTGCATTTTGCTACTTCCTCTCTTTACCTGCAGTGATCATTCTTTTTCTGTTAAGTCGTATCAGATGCCCTGGCTTGGGGAGTTGCTTTTGTAGATCTATTCTGGCAACTGGAAAAGAAGTAGAAGCTATGATAGATTCGAAAAGTCTTTGGGTATTCTATAGATAAGCAAGCTTTTATTTTCGGTATCCAACACCTTTTGAACAATAGCCCAGAAAAGTCAATCATGAAACAATAAAACTAGCCCTTTTTGTCCCCCTGTTGTAATCTTTATGATGCTGTTTTTCTGGGTAAAGAGAACTGGCTGGAGTGTCTCCAAAATCAGCCAGGCTTATTCTTTAGTGCTTCCTTGTTCATTGAATAAATGATATTCATTCATCCGATTAATATGTAAGCAGCATTGCTAAATTAACTAATGAGTGGATTGGACACTTGTTCTCATTTGCATTTCACCACACTGGTAGGCAGGAAAAGTAGTTCTGCAAACTATTAATGATCCTTAAGGTAAAGGATACCCTACAAATAGCGCATCTGATCTTTCGGTGTGCTGAGTACCCTGAACTCACAGTGAACTCAATGCTTCCTTGCATGAAAGGCTCAGACCCATGAAGGAATGGACTATGCATAAATGAACAGCTAGTTGAGCTCGATTTGCAGTTGAGTTGGCTTTTGTGTGGTTTGGGAGCTTAGTCGGTAATTTGTTTGACGCTTATGCCGTTTTTATAAAGTCTAAAATGTTTAATACTTGTGACTGCAGTACAGAGTGTCATCACCTCTTAGGGTCTCACTTCGTAGGACAAAAGCTGGCAGCCTGGTGTGCTGGGGTGTTGTTATCTAATTCACAACACAGCTCACACTTGTAGCAGAGAAACAGCAGGTTGCTAAGATGTGTACAAGTGGCAGGAAAAAAAATGAAGGTTCATCAGTATTTGCCGCAAGCATCCTTTTTTTCTCAGAAGTGGGTGGACTCCATACACCTAAATTGAAAGTGATCTTTTTTTAGTCCCAGATTAGGAGAGCATCTATTCCAGCGGAAGTTTGGCAGATAGCATGTCATAGCAAAATGGGAACGCAGTCCTGTTCTCTGTCCTTGCCTTCTCAGCAGCTTGCATATGGTGTGTATCAGAGCAGCATGTACGCAACTGTCTTATAATAAAGTTTTCAGTCTTGATACCTATCATTTTTCAGACTGCTTTAGACTTTCTGTGTAGCTACTTTCATTCATCTCACATATCTTAGTGAATTCAACTTATGTTTCCCCTCTCCCTTTTAACTTTCAAAAGACCCAGGTATCTGTATTAGTTTGCAGTTGAATATGCCTTAAGTAAAGCAGCCGGCAGCAGCATGGGTTTTAAACATAGGCACTGAAGCAAGACTTTAAATCAGAAGCTTAGGAAAACAAACCAACCTTTGTGGATTTGTTCCTGAAGTGGAGGGCAGTGCATTAACCTGCTTCATCCAATGAAATTATTTTTGATTCCATCCTCACATACACTGTATTCATTTGCTTGCCCATCCTACTCTCTGGACAACTCATCTCTTTCATGCAAACTGTTTTGTCTAAACTACCCATCTGCAGTCTCTCTGAATCCATCACAGGCTGCACAGGCAAAGGCACTGAAAACTGTTTTACAGCAGCTGTATAGCCATGGATGCCAGCCTTCACTTCTGTTAACTCCACCTCCCCCACCCATTGTACAGTGTATATGGTTTTTTTTCCCTTTCGTCTTTTATTTCTGTGTTTCTGTAGTTTTGTATAAAATTGCTCGAGGCTGACTTGTTTGTAGTCATTTCTGAAATATAGCAGCATTGTTAGCATCTGTGTTTGTAAATAAAGAGGTATGTTTTATTTCTTAAGCTTGGGGGTAATCTCTGCATTTCTTTTTTCTATTGTTCGTGTTGTGGTAGCACTCGGAAGCCCCATTGTGATGAGCGAGCACAAGAGACTTCCTGTCCCAAAGGGGTTTGCAGTCAAGTGGGTTTTTTTCTCAATGAACTCATTTTAAGAAACAAAAACAAATCCCTAGCCTGAGAAAAGGTATCCTTGTTCTGTCCAGTGCAAACAGGTGTTTTAAATTTATGTTTCCCTCCATTTGTATGCAATCCAAGTCTTCCAGGATGGAGAAGCAGAAATTGAAATAGGTCGTAAGTAAAAAGTGAAACTAAAATTGGTCCGAGTGTTCAAGTACTCGGACAGCCTGCTGACTACAAACCGTGAGCTGGAGACAGTAAGTAGCATTCAATAGTGAACAGTAATTTGGATTGTTTAAACATGCATTCAGTTTTGGTAGTCAAACTATGATAGTAAGAGAGATGCAGGTATTTTTTAATGACCTTATGGAAAACAGAAATGTTGTTGTAATGTAATCATAGGCAGTCCTGACCCTTTGTAAAACCCACACCTGAATTGCTGGCCAGAGAGAACTTTTATTTACTGCATTGTTGTCACAACAGCATATTGCTCTACCAAGAGTAAATACCATGTTACTATTTTACAACGCACAGTATTTGGCACTCTCTTGTTGCACCTTTCCACCGAGACCATTCAAAATGCTTTGTAAATCATTGTTTTGGATCCCTGTGCTTCCTAAACACCTAAGCTTTGCCACTTTCATGTTGCATAAACTGGAACTTGAAGATTTGTGACTATTGGCAGAACACGTGTCGCGTCAGTAGTCGAATCTGGAATAAAACCTGGAGGACCGTATTCACAACTCATGTAAATACTTCTTTGAATTTGAATTTAGGATGGTTTGTGCCCACATCTGCTAATGGTAAATCTGACTGTTCCTGCCGAGCTCCCTATCAGTTTACCGTAATGCTGACACTTGGCCCAGATTAGGGCACTCTGGCATTACTTAACTCAGGATTTTAATATATTTCAGTCCTTGGGGAATTTTCATCCAGCACCATTTAAGGTGCTTTCTTGGATGTGTGCAACCTTCTGTGTTCAGTCATTCTGCATAATGAAACGTGGCGTTGTGACATCATCGTAATGTCACAGCAGAGTGCCAGTGTCACAGAACATCAGCTGAGCCATGGGAGGGAGGTCAAAAACTTGAGTCGGCTTTCCTTCATGTACAAAATATCCAGTGTCCTTTTAGAAAGAAAACAGCCTAAAGCATAAGTGATGGCTTTGACACGCTCCAATTTGCCTTAAACATCTGATGCTGTGATGACACTTGAGATCAAAAGGTTATCTTCGTGATCTTGGAGAGCTGTGGCATGCTTTTAATTTTCGCAGTACAAATACACATGGCAGAGCTCCAAGCATAGATGGTATGTATAATTTTCCTTATGTTTTATTGGCATTCAGTTGGAGTTTCAAGATTGTATTATGGGCCTTGCTTTATGGTTTGGGGTTAGGGAAATTCAATGAGAAAATTATTTACAGCAAATGTTCTTTTAAAATTACTTTGAAGTTGTTCCCTTTCTCTAAGAATGTATCTATTTATTTGGTAAAAGGGATGCTTGTTGCTAGAGTTTAGTATCTTCTAAGTGGGCAAGTAATGCATTGTAGAAATTAGAACCCATGGGGGGAACATCGGTCTGCCTATTAATAGGTGACATTTTCTTCAGCAGTGTCATACTTCAAGCCTTTGATCTTGGAGGATTTTTTGTACCTGGAGAATTGGATCACAAAGCCAACTGAAATTTTAGAAATCCTTAAGATTGAACCTTCATAAAGAATGATTTACCTTTGCTGGACTACTCAAAGCCAGTGGCTCAGAAGCGGTCTATAAACTTGACTGCTGTGATATGAAGACCTCAAAAAGCAGCTTCATCCTTGGGACATTCACGTTTGCTTTCTGCCTGCCTACGGCAGTTTCTCTTGAGACTGTTACCATCCCAGAGAAGCTCAAGTCAGCTACGGTTAAAGTCTCTGTCAGCACCACATCCTGCAGTGTCACTTGTGGGCTAGGCTTCAAGGTGGAGGAAGTTTGTGAGCTTGGTCCTGATGGGAAAAGGAGGCACTGTACCTTTCGCAGGTCAGACTGTCTGACCAGCTGGATCTGTGGATTACTCCACTTCACTGTTCCTGTTGGTAAACCATTTGAGCTTAGCTGCCTGACTTCTGAGATGATTGGCATTGGTAGCCAGGCCTTTATCTACACCTGGAGGCTTGCCAGAGGCATTATCACCACCAATGACGTGCTTTTCAAATCTATCAAGACCCCTAGTTATGTCATCAAACTTTCCCCTGCCAAGGAATCTGATGCAGGGACTTACCGGTGTGACGTGCAGCTGATGAAGACATTCAAGCTGGTCAAGAGGATCTATTTTGGGCTCAGGGTGATCCCTACTGACTTAATAGAGCTGAAGTTCTACAAATCCTTGACCCTGGAACAGAAACTTGCTGAATATAAAAAGGAAGGAAACGGAGGGAACGGCACCATTTTCCTGTCACGGTGGCAGCAAGACTCGTGGCAAAGAAGGGCCTTGGTTGTGTTTGTGGTAGGGATTGGAAGTGGAGTAGCAGCAGCTATCTTGGTGGGTGCAGTCCTCTTCTTTCTGCTAAAGGCTCGCAGAAAAAACGAAGCCATAGAGGGATGAGTTGCATTTTTAATTTTGCTTACTTCAGAAGGATAGCTTAGTATTAGTATTTCATACTGCTGTTAGGCTGGGTTTTTTGGATAAACTTTGCTTTGGGTATTAAAACAACAACATAATCTTGGGTCATGGTGGCTTTTGGGTTCAAGTCTTAAGCAAGCTACCACAAGTTACGTGGATCTTTCACTTTCAGGAGAGTCTGTCAGGTTGAGTTGTCAAACCTTTTTTTTTTTTTTCATCTGCCTTTACAACAGTTCACGTGGACTCTGCCCAGGATCGGGGTTCCCTGTGGTGTAGGCACTGTGCAAGCGCAGAGTGAAGCAATCCTTCCATCAAAGAACTTTGAATCGAAACAAAGCCAACGGGGTAGGAGGGGAAGTGGACATTAATATTATACATTTGATAATACATAATATTAACATTTGAAGCGTACCACATGCACCCTTTATGATCTCTCTAGGAAAACAGAGATGATACTTTTATTGTAGAAAGAGCCGAATGTACAAGTAAATAAGTTCTCTGCAAAGCATAGTATGTAATCAGACTAAAACACCCACGTACAGCTTCATGGGTCCACTGATGCAGCGGAGTTGTGTTCTCAAGAGTGGAAGCTGAAACCTCGGAAATACTATTCCTTTGGTTACAGAGTTGAAATAAATGACTGGCCATTACTACTTGGCTGAAATGTTATGGAAATTGAAGCCTACTCTACAGCCATATATTTGCAGCGGCGCTTCTGAGTCTAAAGAGCTTCTTATAAATAAGACAAGGGCCCAGGTTTATTTTGGGAAGTCACAAGTGCGTTGTTACCAGGCTCAGGGAGAAATGGGGGTAAGTTTTCTTTAAAGCATTGGCAACGTTTCTCCTCTTGTGACTTAGGCTTTACAGCCCCGAAAACTAATGGTGGGGATAAATTCAAAGCTGTAGTTTCATAAGTATCGATACTTGGCTGTAGAACAGAGCATAAATAGTGAAGAGGAGGATTTCAGGCTAACCCATTGCTCTGGACCCAAGGTACAAATGAAGGCAGGGAAGATTTAGGCTGAGGATCTGGAACACTCTTTTCTGTGGTGTTGACGTTTTTATATGATCTCTGAGGAATGTGGGGGGTGGTAAAATCCCTGTGGCTTGACTGGAAAAAGCAGTAGGTAATAAACTGCAGAGGGTATGACCTGTGCGCTTGGAAGGAGAATGGACACCCAGGACAGATTTATTTTCTATCGGTCAAGGTGCGGTGAGGGTGCTGTTAGTGTTGGCATTGGTGTTGGCGTGTGTACTGCAGAGGATGCATTGTAGTTTGGGCTCAGTGGTGGGGAAGCTTGTGAGTGAAGCATGCGGAGCTGATCGCAGACTTGTTCTGTGCTTTCCTGAACCCTGTCTGATGTCCAGTCACAAAAGTCATTTAGGACTCTACACTGTAGTGACTGACAACAAAGGGCTGTACGTTGTTCTCCCATCTAGAGACTTGGTCCCGTGGGTCAGCAGCTCCTGAATGGTGATCCAGTTGTCCAAGACTTTCCTACTCCTCTTCTTCATCAGCTTCTTCTGACTCAGTTCAATAATCCCTGGATCTTTTCTGCACACGGTCCCTGCTCTGTCTTCTGTCAGCTGATCCATGCGGCTCTGCATCATGAATTCTTTTCTCTGCTTCTGCTCTTTGGACAGGAGCAGGTGTTGCCTCCTTTGAGCCTTGTTCCAGTACTTCCCAGTCTTCAGCTCGCTCAGGGCATCGTCATCGGTGGTCATCCCACTGCGTTCCTCTGTGATCCTCAGGGCTCTGTCCTTCAGCAGTTGACTCTTGTGCTGTTTCTTTAACAGTGGCTTGCTCCTTTCATTTGGCAGCCCCTGCATGCATCCAGCATCTCCTGGGTTGCTCTCTGTGCCTTTGTTGCATTGCCCTGGAAGTGCTGATGACCTAGGTTGGTTGCTTAGGCACTCTACAGCTACCTTTTCCTGCACGAGGTTCATGTAGCTAACG